GGAGGTCTGTGAACCCCAAAGGAGGCTCTGGTTTACCTGTGAATGTGATTCCAATCAGATGGGGCTTCATTGTCACTCAGGAGCTTGCTGACTTGCAATAAATATTCATAGAATTGATTAGACATTAATTGCACAAATCACCACCTCTTCAGCCAACCCCAGGCACCTTGCTGCCACCCACCATCGTTAAGAGGTAGCAGAAAATGTGTTTTCTGTAGGTCCCTTAAGGTCAGCCTAGTACCTCAGAAGGAAGAGGGGATTGTTAAATGCCTCACCTTGCAAAGTCCCTTAACACAGGGACAGTCCTTCCCCAAATTCTGCCCCAGGGGAAGGGCTGTGTTCCCACTAGTGTAGCCCCCATGGGGTAGGAGCCCTATGCTCTGTGTAGACCTCACTGCAGTCTGTTCTACCTCCCTCTTCCCGCATACTCCTTGCTGTCCAACCCCACAAGGACTGCCCTTCCTTGCTCCTCTGTGATCTCCATTCTTCCCTTACAGACTGTTTTGCCGACCCTTCTGCAAGGAGAGGCATTGGGCTGGGATGCATGTGGACTGTGTGTGTCCCTGTGTATGCGCAGATGTGCTTGGATATGTGTGACTATGAGTGCGCAACACAGCACACACACACACATCTATACCTGTGTTTGTACTCACATACAGATACGGACAAGTAACCTCACTTGTTCAGCAAGGTAGAGGAGCAAAACCATGCTGTGCTAGCAGGGCATATGGTGCTCTCCCTGCACATGTCCTTGCCCTCACCTTGATGGGGCTCTGAGCAACCCGATCTAGTTGAAGATGTCCCTGCTCATTACAGGGGAGGTTGGACTAGATGACCTTTAAAGGTCCCTTCCAACCCAAACCTTCTATGATTCTATACCACATGCTGTGCCCTTGAGAGCTGAGATGTGAGGGCCACCTTGCACCATCTCCACTCTCTCCCTGAAGTGTTGGGCTGGCATGTCTAGTTGCAGGCTGTTCAAGGGATGTCGTACTTTACTTATTCCTGAAGTTTGTGCTGCCGTGGCTCTGGAGCTGAGGTGAAAGCCCTGTTCTTGTCACTGCAAGCCCTTCTTGATCAACTACTCACACAAGACCCAGACTCCTCCACCCTCCCTGACTCTTTCCTGGTGCCACCATACACAGCCTCCTTGCATTTGGCCCAATAGCATCAGCCTTCAGGAGCAAACTGATGTCTGTATTCAGGCTCACACACAGAGGAATGTGGTAACCTGGGACAGGCTACATACATCTTCATTGCAGGGAGGCAGCAGGATTGGAAACGGTGTGGCAAGATGAGACTGCTGCATGCCCCTGTCGCAGGCACTTAGAGCAGAGCTACCGCAGATGTGACAGCAGTGACACTCCAAGAAACCGCAGTCAATTCTCAACCCCAGTCTGCCTGGGCTTCCTTCAGCTCCCTAGACTGGCCCTCTGTCAGGCTGGAGACAGAAGTGAGCCAGAACAAGGTGCAGCAGAGAGGCCATGGTACCTCTGAGAGCCATCCTGCCCTCTAGCTCTGTGCTCTGGGGCTTTCTGTGTGAAACGCATATTCAAAGAAAGTTTTAAGAGGGAGGAAGCATTGCTATGGGTCCCCCATGCTCAGGTAACAAGTTGCTTTCCAGCCACAAAACGTAAGGGATGGAACACAGGAGGAACAGGGCTTGTTGGCCCCCCAGGTCTGACTGCACCAGCTCCAATACAGCGGGGCTGTGCTTCTTTCCATACAAGTGACTGATCCCATAGGGCATGATGACTGGCGCCCATCCCTCTGAGGCTCTTGTAATAGCCCTCTGCTCCTCCAGGTTTATGGGACAAGCTGGCAAACCTGTTGACTCCTCTTGGTGGCAATCCCTGCACTGCTGTGGAAGGGTGAGGTGGCGGGGCTCACAAAGCGTACCACCGAGGGAGTGGAAAGGCTGGCAGTCCTACTCCACATAACCCAGTTTAGCTATCAGGAAAGAGCTGTTCTTTGCGCTGAAGGGTATGTGACACACAGCTGAGTAGTTTCAGGCCTCCCAGGCATGGGCAGTATCTCAAACGGGTGCTCCCGCCCCACCACTGAGCACTGCTCCTGGCCAACTGGCTTGCAGACTCTTACTGTCCCACAGGCCTCCATTTGCTCATGAGCTCCCATCACTAGGGCATTCACCCCCTGCAAAAAGACAGGTTCAACTCATGCTCTTTGATCGGCTCTGAATCCATAGTCCAGTCCAGTCTGTCTCCATTCGTACACGGCCCTTCCCCTCCACCTCCCAGAGGTTTTCTCTACCCTTTGCTAGATACCTAAGCTGTACTGAATGAGACTGCTGGCTCCCCTCACAGCTGCTCCATCTCTGTCGCTGTAAACAATTTCTAGAAAGCCTTTTTAAAATGCATTAGCCTTCCAAAAAGGAGCTGATAAACAGGGGAGAGGAGGAAGGGAAGAAGAGGGGAGGAGGCAGGATGCAGTGATGGGGTTTATTCCACACATCTGCAGTATTCTCCTCCCAGCCCTTTTATAAAAATAGATGGACATTTATTATGAAAATGAATTACTGGGTGTGTGCAGGAGTCCTTAGGCAGGCAGGGAATAAGCGTCAGTCTTCTGTGTGTATGTCTGTGTGAGCCACATATGCTGCCTATGATGAGAAACAGGAACACATCTGCCAGACAGCAATCTGTCCGATTTAGTACCTGAAGGGCTCTGTGTGTGTCTGTGTGCCTGTGTGCATGCATTCATGTGTGTGATGCTTCAGTTGCCCTCAGCAAAGGCAACGTGTGATGGTGGCCAGCAACACATTCCCTGGTGGTGCCATTCTAGTTGCACAAGTCGTTTCCATCACAAATTTGCAAGGGCTCCAAACATGGCTGTCAGAGCACACGGGTATGAGTGGTCATTTTATAGACCTGTTCTGAGACACCCTGGCCAATACCAAATGCACTGGTATTCAGCAGGCACGAGGTCAGGGACAGTGCTCAGTGAGTGAACGTGTTGCATTAGTGGTGGGCAACATCAGGTACCATTGTGTTCACAGGACTGAGATCGGGCATGATATAGCAAGGAGTCTGGAACTGAATTTTCTGTTCTGGAGCTAAGGAAAGGCAATGGAAACTCAAACTTACTGTGTCTCTCCCTACCTCAGTCTCTAGGAGAGAGGAAACCTGGTCCATCCCCACCTGACTCTTGTGGTTAGTTTGATAGACGGAAATGACACCATTGCCTGTCTCCGTGCACTGTTTTGCCTCTCACAAGTTGTCCTTCCCAACCTGTCTCCACTAGGAATAATTCTGCTCTGCAGTGCATGGGTATCTGGGGGAAGAAGGGAGGGGAAAGGATATAGCCAACCTGAAGAGAATTGCAAGGATTTGGGGTGAGGAGGGACTGGGAAGAGCTTGGATAGACCCTGCTGTCATAGGAATGATCCAGGTAAACACTAGGGAGGGCTTAGCCTGGATTCCCTCACCCAAACCCAGACTGTGGGTAGAAGGGAGACTCCACGCTACATTTTGATGGCTTTTGTCACACAGAGCATGAGCCTGAGAGGCACTCGAACAGACATTTCTCACCCAAATCCTAGGTTCTGAGGCATCTTTTACCAACCAAGTGCATATTTATATTTCTCTTGCATATCTTGGAGATGTTGCCAAGATAAAGGGCCAGATTCTGACTTCTCCGCCCACCTCTGGACCTGACCCTTCCTCCCTGCATTGAACCCAAAGCATGAGCGAATGTGTGTGTGAGCACATGTGGTCTGGAGCAGTGGGCAGCGAACTCAGGCCCTATCACATCAGTGACAAAGAGTCAAGGCAGGAGACATTTGCAGGCGCGAGCAGAAGAAAACCTTCACGTTCCTTCTCCAGGGTGAGCGCGTGCTTCAACTCCGAGATACACTCCCTGCCTCTTGAAATTAATTCAACATTCCTGTGGCTTGGGTGAAAATAACTAGAATGATTAATCCCGCGGTGCTGGCCCTGCTGCAGATTGCCTGGTAGACAGAGCCCTCTGCAGGAACAAAAAAGGCGAGAGACTGTGACAGCACCAGTGTTTACTAGAAGAGACCCGAAGAAAAACAGCAATAGCTTATCACGTCCTTTAACCCCGCAGGTGTAATTGCTTCTAGCAAGTCTCTGGTATTTGCCTCCCTGCTGTTCCCAGCTCGCAGTGTTACAGCTCCCTGCACCTTTCCTCCGGTCCCATTAACTGCTCCTCCCTCCCGCGCCGCCTGTGTGTGCCCGCGCTCCTCGGCCCGCCTGCATTTTGGGTGCAGTGCAGAGCTGCGGTGGTGCTCAGGCTGCTTTGCAAGGCACGGGAACATGGCATTCTTATCTCGCATCCTCTGCCTTTATCACTAAAAGGATCGTGTTACCCAGAGTTTTGGGCTTGTTTCAAGCGCTTTTATTTCTCTTTTTACACAAGAGACCAAAAACCTCCCAGGCTCCAGATGAAACAAATATGTGAAGATGGGAATGCCCCTGTGTATGCGCGCGCGGTGTGTATGCACCTCCAATTTTTCATGCCTTGTGTCTGCAGGCCTTTCAGACACAAAGCCTAAGCCTCCGGGGTGGTAGAAAGAAGGAACCTTTGCTGGGGAGCCATCAGCCAGGAGGACGGCTAGTGTTTGGGTTTCTTCCCTAGGGAGACCTGTGGTGGTCTCTGAGTCTCAAAACAGAGACAAAAGAGCCAGGAGCCACTTCCCCAGTCCCACAGCCTCTCTACACTCAGTTACACCTTGTCTCCCCAACCAACATCTTTAACTTTCTAAAAACTAAGACTCAGTTACAGAGGAGGGCCTTCCCAGGATTACAGCCCTCATGGCTATAGGAAGAGGTAGAGAGGGCTCTCTTCTGAGCAGAGGGCTTCCTAATTTCCCTTGGCCTCTGGTTTCACCGTGAGATCTTAAATATCAGTAGTCCCTTCTCCACAACTACTACACATCCGTTCATGGAAGATAAACCACTGGGGCTTTTCTGCTCTGGACCGTGCTTGGCTGCTCCAAGAGCATTTATATGGTTCCTCACAGAAAAACACCCAGGCCTGGTTTGATGGCAGGAGGGGCTGGAGACATTCTGGAGACATTCTTGTCTGCCGTCAGATCCTGTCCTACATGCCTGGGCCTATGTGGGAGAACCCAAAGGCCAGTTGCTGTTGAGCCTTTACGTTCAGACATGGGAAACGCCATGCCCACGGTTCTGACAGTCCTCAGTGGATTGCACCCTGCGCCTCTGCCTTCAGTTTGGAAAGGGAAGAAGCTAATCTGGCAAGCTGTCCTGTCAGTCATCTTCCTGCCAAGTGGGAGGCAGAGGGAACCAATACTCCCAAATTTCTTCACTGGAAGAGCCCAGCATGGGAGGGAAGCTGTCCAACAACTACATCTTCCTGCTGCCAGTGACCAGGTCAGGGCTCAGTTTTTGCTGGCAATCTTTTTCTTACGGGCAGAGACTAGATCATAGAAAGGATCCTGTGTGATGCTGGTCCTGGAAATAAGAGGAAATGGAAGCAAAAGTAAGAGATTTAACGCTGGGGAGCGGCACAGGCAACCTAACTGAACTTGTACAGAGAGACCACTCACCAAAATGTAGGACTGGAGATCTGCAAACCCACAGCAGAGAATTTAGCTGTGGCTAGAGAGTCTCCAGAGGGGACCTTGAAACTCTTTGAAGTCAAGAGGTACCACAGTTACTAGACTTCAAACATTTCTTCCCACACCCTTTTTCAAGCGCTAGTAGCCAAATAAACTGTGTGACCATTTGTTCCTGGGACTGAACAAAGGCAAGCTCAGGCCTCCAGTGCCAGTCTCCTCACCGTATTGCCTCAATCCACTCATCACGTTCTGCTGGTGTGGCTGCTGAGATCTTGTAGGACTGATGCTTGCCTTCAACCACCTTCCCATCCCCATCTGTTTTGCAGGCTTTGATCTTCTGCCCTTTGCAGTTGGGATTGAAGAGCTCAAAGCAGTTCTGTCAGAAAGGGAATAAAATAGAGCAGTAGGGGAAGACAGGGTGGACCAAGGAAACTATGCTGCCTTCAGCCATGGGTGACAGGCTCAGAGAGCTTCCAAAGGGGAGGACAGCATTCTGTCTCTGAAATGTAACAGAGCCTTTCTTTCCCCACTCCAAGAATGCCCCTATGAGTTAGATCTCCTCTTAGGTAAACACCCTCCTGTGAAGGGCTGGACACTAAACAGGCTTTATGGAGACATGGAGCATCAACAGTTATCAGAAAACCCCTTCTTGGATCTGTAACTCTGCTTCACTTATGAAGATCTCTTCTCCTTTTAAGTAGATGCTACATCCTCTCTTCTGTGTGCCACCACACAGACAGAAGGCACCTCTCCAATGGTCATGCCACATCAAAGAGTGGGTATCCATAGAAGATGCACAAAAAGTGTCACTTCCTAGGCAAGTTTCCTAACACCACAGCACTGTTTGGTCTACATCTGTTGTAACTCATTATGGAGAGTCCTGGAGAGAGAAATTGAACCTAAATCTCCTGCTGCCAAATGAGTAGAGAGTCAGAGGGAGTCAGCCCTGTGTACTCATCTCTGCACCTCTACACACACACACACACACACACACACACACACACACACACACACAGAGTGCAGCCAGCCGAAGGACAGATCTCTGGTTCACACCAGATCTTCCCTAGCAAAATACAATCATGTTTAGATACTGCCATGTTTAGATGGGGGGACAAGGCAGTTTGGAATGACACCTTCCCAATTAGAAGCATGGGTGTGAAGAGGGCGTGTGCACCCTCTCTTTCCTCTTGACCACCTGAGAGCCTGCATTCGCAGACTACCAAGCAATGGAGACTTACTGGCTTTTTGGGATCGTCCACCTTCCGGACTGATAGGTTCTCCAGGGGGATAATGCCCAGAGGCTCTTTGTCCTGAGGGCAAGAATACACGAATTAACACCCAACATGCTCCCCACATCTATGCCACTATTTACAGCCTCTCTGGCTTCTCAGGGTTGTGCCTTTGCGGGGGTGACACGGGCAGTGCATGCCTAGGGAGACCATCTCCATTTACACAATGGGGAGCTTAGTTAACAGGAGATTGCAGCAATAGCTGCAGTGTCCAGCCTCTCTCCTCCTCAAAACCAGAGGTGAGGAAAGAGCACAGGAGAGAAGGGAGGTGTGAGTTTAGTCTGGGAGAATAGGGTTGAAGGGAAGAGTTGCCCCCTACCCTCTGCTCATCCCTGGCCCCTCAGAGGCTCATAACCACCCAGGACACACTTTTCCAACTGGGAGCTAAGCCTTTACCGTGGTATATTCAAAGTAGTAGAGGCAGTTATCGGTCAGAATGAACCAACGACGTTTCCAGGTTTTCACACGTCCTCCTAAAGGCAGCGAGGTTCAAAAGCCATTAGTCACACACTCTGTCATCCTTCCCACCCCTCTTCAAGCTCCAGACATGCACACACGGACATACCCTCCCAGATCTCCCTGTAGATCAGCCCCAAAGAGGCAACCATGGTGCTCACCGCTGATGTGATGTCGTATGGTGGGCATGGACACACACACAGGAATCCAATTTTACTGGGAATAGGGAGGGGTGAGGGATATCTTTTTGAGTTCCTTTTTGAGCAGTCAGAGGGAGGAGAGAGCAGGCAGCTGGTTTCAACAGCAGGTGTCAGCCTCATCCCACCACAGCAGATGGGAGGGGAAGGACAGTGGAGATGCTGGTGGGTGCTTGGGGGAGATTTGTGGTGGCAGGCAGGTGGGCACAGAATTCAGAGGAGCTAGGGGAATCCTCCCCCTTACCTAGTTTCAAGAGCCAGCCCTCACGGTTAGGGTTGAAGAAAGTATGTGTGAGATCGTTGCCGTCATCCTCTGGTATGGAGAATGGCTCGTTCTTGATGCTCTCAAACAAA